TTTTTTTTGTTTGTTTTACTTGAAGAGGTGTTGCCAGGTGGGGAAGAGAGAAAAAAGAGCAGATCTAGATATGTGTTCAGGTAATGGAAATATCCCCTCCCTTTGCTTTTGTGTAAATGGAAGCGACTTTTTGAGTTAGTTCTGGGCCATCTTTTCTCTTATTCCTTTGTTTTTTCGGTTGGTTGCTTGTGGCTGTGGGGATCACATCTTTTAGCCTCCCTTTCTCTTTCTAATTTATTTTCGTCGGTAACTCAAATGTAACGCTTGGACCTTGTCTTGTGCGAAAATGTACATGAAATGGGAATATCTCTCTCCGTCAAAATTGGTCTAGACGGCGACCGTTTTGGCCTCATTTTTTTTGTTGTTGCTTCTGAAAATTCCGCTTGTTTGATTTTACCAATCTTCTTGTTTCTACTTTGCATCTCTTTTGTTGGTTTTTGAAGTGTTGATGTGGTTGTTTGTAATGGAATTGTTTGGATTTTTGCGGTTGTGGGTTTGAATTATAGATGACGATGATATGCGTGCGTGGAGGTAAGGGAAGGGATTGTCTTTTATTTTCGGTTGATGGCCCCTGACTGAGTGACTGGTGTGTGTTGTGGTCTTGGTTTCGTTTGGACATTGGACAAAAAACAAGCAAGTTCGCATCCCAACAAGTGCAATCCGGTTTGCTTTTTAGGTTGGCTAGCTTCTTCCCGAATCTCTAATCTCTAATCTAGTCCTTCCGAATCCGAAATGATCGCTGGCGCTACATGAAATTTCGTTTGTCGAGAAACTCAGAAAAGGATTGCTGGGCCTACCAGAAAAATTGTATTTGTACTAGTCATCTGAAAGGCATTTAGTATTTCCGTTCAATCTCCCTAGGAATGTCATGCATKAATGATCCGGTTTGCCCAGTACAGTCCAGGCAGGCAATTAAAGCAACTCGGTCCAGAACACAAGTAAAACATACATAATAAATACATGTTTCTCTGACTCAGCAGGGACTGGGGACTGGGGACTGGGCTTCATTTGATGATCATTTCCAGTAAACTTCTAAGGTGGCGGGGGCTCGGCTAGCAGCACTCGGCAGGCTTATGGTGAAGTGCCCCATAAGCTCATACTGGCCCACCATCACCTCTACACTCTACAGTAATAATGGGCCGATTTCTACTTTACATGAAATTCCAGTAGGCAAGGTCTCCAGACTTGTCAGGGCCAAGTGGGTCACACAACAGTTCACTCCCTCGACTCGAGTCAAGTTGGTCATGACTTCCCCAAGTCTCCTTGAGGCACAAAGGGTGGTGTTCAGAATCAGAAGAGACGATGCGTTTGTCTCTTGGTGGATTTTCCTGATTCCTTAGAGATCAGGATTCATGGGTTGGCACTACACATCACACACATCATGGGGTTCACGAATCACGAGGGGATCCAAATCCAATATATATATATTTTATATCCGGTCGGGGATGGACTGGGGTGAGTCATCGGGATAAGAAAAGTATATAATGCGAGGAAAAAATAGAAAGACGCCCGAAAGAGGAGGTACTAGAGAATGCCTCGTGGCACCAAATCAGGGCCTACTCCCTGATGCTGTGGTACTAATTGATACTGTTTGTATAGACCTGGAAAAGGGGGAAGAACAGTGATAATGGTACAAGATCCACAACTGCATCGAGTACGGTGACTCGGGCTAAACATCGATGGGATGGACTACTCGTCACATTCACATTCACATTACATTACATTTGGTCATTATTGGTGGTGCAAAATCACTCTTTCTTCATCCCATCACGCCTTGGCGTTGCTTCTTCATATTGGATGGAATTGGAAGGCCGTAGGCATATCATAACTCATATTCAAATCTTCATAATTGCGTTAGAAAGTACAAGCACCCCCTGAAACCTCCGCTACCATTTGCAAAATGAAAACCAACCAACCCGCAACAGTGTCACCGAGTTTTCCATGTTTTTTGTTTTTCTTTCTAAATATAATATTATAATTTTTTTTTTTTTGTTTGCTAACGAATATTCAACATATTGAGTATTTTAGTTGACTAATAGAGCTAAAGGTGGAACCCCAACCGTAAATTCTTAATTCTAAACACTAACTAAAAGAAGATGGACGGAGATTCCTTTTTTTTTTGTTGTCTTTAGCAAAATTTTCTTTTTTTTAGTATTAATGTTGAGGAAATTATTACCTTATATTCACATTACTTTCCCTTTGGTCGGAGTCTCGAACTTTTTTTTTCTTTTTTCTGTCAAAATTAGTAAACAAGTGGGTGAAGTCTGAACCTTGAAAATCCAGTTCCCCGAAGTCATATTAGGTATACATATTTACTCATCTTCAAAATGTTCGATTTTGAAGAGAAAAAGGTAAGTTGAGATTGATGGGGATGGTGTAGGTATTAGGAAGGTGGGGAATAAATTACCACCATTAAAGAGAGAGTGAGAAAGAGAGAGAGAGAGAGAGAGAGAGAGTTGGTTGGCTCTTTCGTACAAATTAGAGTCACCCTCTATTTATAAAGAAATAAATAATTTTCTTTCTTTTAAAGGAAAACTCTGTAATTTTGTATAGATGGGTCGGTGGGTGCGGGTGTGGGTGTGGGGGCGGGGGCGAGGGCGAGGAGGTGCAAGAGAAGTGGGGTGGGGTCTTAGTGTAGGGTTTTGTTGGGTAGTGGTTGATGCGAGTTGATAATGTTCCCAGCATTTTCTTGTAGTTTATCGTTTCATATACGACATCTGTCTTGTTATCTTTTTATGGCAAATTTTAATAAAAGTGAAAAAAGTGACTAATGGTCGGCTCTATGTTCCCTCCTACATCTCTCTCTCTCCTAAACATTTACTGCTCTCAGTAATGATATAACGACCTTGGGTGTCCATAGGTCAGCAAGGGTCAAGTTTTCAAACATATTTTCATCATTTATCATGGAAATAATTCAAGCTTATTTTCATGTTTATATTAGGAAATTGACTTAGTGTAGTTCTCATATATATATTTGAATACCAATAGGATGATTGTAAATTCTGTTTTTTTTTTTTTTTGTTTCCGCCTTACATTTGACCTTATTTATTTCTAAAAAGTAAAATAGGAAGTAAAACGGTGTGATCCTACATTAAATGCAAGAGACTAGAGGTAAGGAAAAAGATTATTTGTTTAGTAGTGAGACAGGAAGCAAAATGATGTGATCCAAGCTTTATATGAGGAAGAAGGTGGGCGCTGCTAATAATATTAGACAACAAAAAATAAAAAACCAAAGACAGCCTAAGCGGGTCTATTGGCTAAACAAATAGAAAACACAACATGAACACAGAGGCTTCAATAATGGCTGTAAGTTATTATTGTGGTTGTTGTTAAACTGGTTTCATCGATACATGGGCCGATGTAAACTTGAGGTAACCTATGTTATTGGACTCTTAAGTCGAACTGGGCTGGCATATGAACTTTCATTTAAAAAGCACTTGGCAGACAGAAAATTGAACTCCAGCTACCTTGATTGGAGCCCAGTTGTACAAACCAGAAATGGACCCACCACAGACATGTGGGGTCCCTCAATTTCTTTAAAGAGCACGGGTTCATTGGATAAAGGATAAAAAAATTGAATAAGCAAATATACATAAATAAAAGCAAGAGAAAGAGATTAAGCAAGCAAAGGAGTTAGACAATTCACACTGGGCGAATGAGCTTCGACATGTGTTATTAGCTGTTGTTGCATGTCTGAGATGTGTTAAAAGCTTGTCTGTAAGTTGAATGGAAAGATCCTTGTGTTGTCCTTTGTACTTTACTTCTTCTTTCTTTAAAATAAAATAGAAAAGAAAAGAAAAAAAAAATGAAAAGATTGAAAGAAAGTGACTTATAATGTATGGAGAAAAAAGCAATTCGTGTTTGGTATGATCTTAAAAGAAAAGTCAATTAAGAAAGAAAGACAAGCCCACATATCATGGCTTTAGTTGTAATAATTATAAAAAAGAAAAGAAATTGAAGGTAAGAGACTGTATTAAACCCAACATATTAATAATTTTTTAGGGTGTCAATTCAAAAGATGGAACAAATATAGAGCTTCTGCTCTTAGCACTCATCAACACAACAGACCAACATCCGCGGCCCCAGATTTGTTATCTTGTATTTACATGTTAAACGAGATCCTTTGAATGGAGGATTCAAATGAAAATAAGTTCAAAGTTGGCAGTAAATAGACAATGTGACAACTATACGAAACATGAATGTAAATGTGCACTGAGAAAAGACCAAACACGTTCAATTACACTCTGGGCTTGGCCTTTTATAACATTTGAAATGCATAAATTAATGGTGGTGGGCGGCATAGATTAGAATTTAGAAGGTGGAGCCTTTTTCGTAGGAGTGGCAACGGGACTGCAGTCCGGCCCAGCCCACTTGTGCTTAAAGTTTTAAATATTTTATTTTCTTTTTTTTATACATGTATAGTCACAGTGTGGTCCCTGGTCCTGTGGAATATTTACTCTAGGTTTTCATAAATTGATCTGATGTTGAGTTTCCATCCAATTACATTTTCTTTAGCCAATACATAGTAAAAGGCTCCAACAAAATTTTCATTACAAATGATAAAGTTCTTATTCACCTATTAATATACGAGATTTTTTTTTTTTTTCTTAAATTGGGTTCATACTCACCAACAAGTAATAAAAAATGATTTCATCATCTAAACTTTGTTCCAACTAATAGGGTATAGGGTCAGCTGCAAAAAAATCTTATTTCACCATTCTGTTCTGTTAAGTGCCACATCGCATAAATCATTCTTAGTCCTGTCACCCCAAGCCCCTAACCAGCCCCCTTCAACAACTTATAGTAAATCACTTTTCTTAACAAACGCTGTAGACCTTTTTCTATGCACGTGATTAAATCATCCCATTTTATTATTTATTAGAACTATTCTTAAGTTTTCTCGCCTGACTTTGTATTGAATCGATTACAAGAAATGATTTAAGAATCCATAATTTATACATGGTACTAAACAAAATAGAATGATGAAAAAGGACTCATGTAGACAACTCCATATTATAAATATGGGACAATGCTTAAATGATGATCATCATCATCRTAATGGGTTCTTATTCACCAATTATTTTATTATGAAATCTAGTATCAATGCTTGCTTCTTTCTCTGTACCTAAACAAACCCAAAGCATCTTCTACATCGAGATGCTTAATAAAGCTCATTTTTGAAGGAGTACAAATACAAATATGTAGAGTGCAAAACCTTACATTTTGTATTATTTTATATGTATTTATACTGAATACTCCTTCCAAACTGAGCCTAAATGAATTCATATACAAGGCACGGAGATGAAAGAACCGTGCATGATATTATTTTTTTGTTTATCCATAACTTGCTAATCCAGGTCCATATAAGGTTGATTGCTCGAGTCTGGGCCCGAATTTAATTTCAAGTTTTTTTTGGAAGCCACAACAGGGCATATTCATTGCATCATATCAACATCCAATACAGGCCTGAGAAATTCAGGAGGGTAGGACCAAGTGATAGTGCTAGAGATGGAACAAGCAAATTTTGAGACAATATGAGCAACTTGATTGCCTGTGCGTGGAGTAAAGGAGATGATAAAATGATCAAAAGAACCTCTCAGTCGGTCACCACTGAATGGAGTCGCTAAGGAACGTCAAGACTAACGCCCAACAAGAGTTTGATTACCTTCTGTGCATTTCCTTCAAGATGAATGTGAGAAGCACCTAAATCACGGGCCATAAGTAACCCAGATCTGAAGGTGCGGGCTTCTGTAAATTCAGGGTCCATGCTCTCCGTTGGGATGGGCTCTAGCAATAAAAAGCCGTCAACGTGATCTCTTATCACATTACCAAGTCCAGAAGCTCTAGCAAACGTCTTGCGGCAGTGATTTGGGGGTGCCCAAATCAGTGTTCATGTTTTTATATCTATACGTATCGGGCAGTATTGGTGGGTTTTTTTTTTTTAGCTTTTTTCGAATCTGGTTCAGAGAGGCTGTGTAAGGTCCGTCCACCCCCTGAATCAGTCGAAACCCCAATACACCCTCTATAGGAACGTATTGGGAAGCTCCTGATACAGCCCAATACGTATAAATACTTTGGACCTTGCACAGAGTGCTATTGAAAAAGAACAGGATGAAAAGTGGTTTATTACACCTAGTTCCTTGATGCCCCATCAACGATCTGCCTTGTCAAATTCTTTTGAGATTGCTGGATTTGGGTCAGCGCTCCATCTCCGGTCTCCGCAGATAATTGATTATTCTGATAAATGAATTAGCCTTTGTGGGCGAACATATAAAAACTTTTATAAAKTAAACAATAATATCAGCCCTTTTGTGAYAATTCAAAAAAACAAAAAAAAATCATGCTTGGCATCCTCTCACTCTCAATTATTTCCGTTTTTATATCTCAAGGATGGAACAGCGACTAAGCTTTCATTCAGGCAAGTAAGCCCGCAGGCGTTTTGGACCGAGAAAAGAGAATGGCCACTTAAATCTATGTGAAACATTCCATCAGATGAATTTAATATCATAAAAGCAAATTCGAAGTTCATGACGCCTATTTTCTTCCGAAGAGTATATTCAGAATTAAAGGAACGACTCACTGGGACGGATCACACTTGGCGGACACCAATTCTGAACCTGACTGAACCAACCCAATTTTGGGCTTATATTAGGTTGGGCATCCTAGAAATCAGGTTGGCAAAAATTAAATTTAACCCAGCAAAATCTTTAGATGGATTGGATTAGGGCTACTTCAGCGTTACCTCGGCTATTTTTTTCTACTCCAAATTGTCATAGAAAATCTTTATGAATTAGTAATCATTACCAGATAAACTAGATGCTTAAAAAAGCAAGTGTGGCTGTGTGGCATTTTCATTTTCCTTATGGTACAGCAAAATTGGGTCATTTATCACAACCCATAATCAGAGAAAAGGGAAGAAAAACTTCCACATTCCTTGAAGTGAACAAAAGAACTTGCAGAAATCATTGCAAAACTCTTTCAGCCACATTCTTCTTTTGCTCAAAACCCCCGATGAGCAC